GGCCCGCCGGCCGCCGAAAACTGTGAAGGGAGCCGAGAATAAAAAAGCCGGCGGGCACTTCAGGGGGCAGCCCTGGACCTTGGCCATGAGGACCCAGCAAGCTGAACACACGGGTGCGCTGTCTGAGCCTGACACACACGCACACTGGTGTGTTTTTCTGCAGCCTCCCCCACCAGAAAATAGCCAGAAGAGGTGAGGGTATTAAATAGAATAATTATTTTTTTTGTAGCCCAACTGATGGCATTGCTGTATAAAGTACAGCTGGTATTTGTAGTGCTATATAGCAGGTCACATTCTGCATTGCAAAAAAAAATCTTGCTCCAGGGCCCTTTGTTCCCTAGGTCCGCCACTGACAGGTACTCTACATACTGCATGGCTACACAAAGCATTCACAGAACAGACAGTACATGTACTCTACATATTGCATTGCTGCACATAGCATTCTCAGAACAGATAGCAAAGGTACTCCATATATTGCATGGATGCACACATCACTCATAGAACAGGCAGTACAGGTACTCCGTATAATGCATGGATGCACACATCACTCACAGGACAGGCAGTACAGGTACTCCGTATAATGCATGGATGCATGTAGCACTCACAGGACAGGGAGTACAGGTACTCCATATAATGCATGGATGCACACATCACTCACAGGACAGGGAGTACAGGTACTCCGTATAATGCATGGATGCATGTAGCACTCACAGGACAGGCAGTACAGGTACTCCGTAGCAGACCTTGTATATATGGTCAGATTGTGCAATGTTTTAGCCCAGCACAGATTAAATGGCATGACTGTACATAGTATTCAATATAAGTGTATACTGCATGACTTTAAATTACGCTCACATTACAGATGTGGTTATATATACTGCATGGTTGCACAAAATATTCACTACAATTATAAACTTCAATACTTATTTTAGGCTGCAACAGAATTATACATGTGTAGGTATAATGTTTGTAGGACACTATATTGGATAGGTGCACAATATTTTGCACATTTGCAGCATACTGCATTGCTGCCCACACTTTTTATTACAGATGTGTGTTGAATGGCCCCTTTTGCATTCAGGCTCTAAAGGCATTGTTGTCCTCATCTGCAGTATGAAGCAGACTGTGTACTGATCACGTAGCTCTACAGCTTGCACCCTTCCTCTGTCTGCAGCTGGCAGCCAATGATGTCACTGTTTCCCAGTGCAGTCTTTTCCTGGGCAGGAAAGGGTTAAGGATGAGACTCCCTCTGTTTCCAGGCAGGTCAGTGATGTGATCCTGGTCTGACACCAACACACAGCTTATCCATATTTATAATATTACCGTGTGTTGTCATTTTCTATATCAGAAGCTTTACTCTATCCATTCTCTCAGTCCAGCCCTCCCTTCCCTCTTTGCCATTGGCTGCTGCTCTGGTGCTTGGCAAATCCCATTGGCTGCCCTCAGCAGCTGTCAGATAAAAAGCTGCTTTTATACAGCATAAGGACAAGAAAGAATCAGGCACAGAGAGCAAGAGAAGAGAGAGAGCGAGAGAAAGAGAGAGGAAGAGAAAAGATGATAGACAAAAGCAAGGCAAGCGATTGCTAGATAACAGGAGCATATTCAGGGTTTCAGCTCTGTGGAGAAAGACAGAAGGCCGCAGAGGGACCAGGGAGGGCTGGCGAAGAAAAGGGTGTGGAAGACAAAGAATGAGAGAACGCCGAACATAAAGCCAATGGCGTAAAGTTCAGGACGTCAATTTTAGATTTGCAAATAGAGCGAAGACTCCTTGGTTCTGTGTACAGCCAGAAGACCCTACAGAGTAAGTTATTTCCTTTGTTTTGGTTTGTCTTTCCTTTGGGTTGCCTCATCACCTTCTCTTTGACTTTCTTATGTGTCTTGCCTGTTTTGTCCTTCGAGTTGCACATCCATCTTTTAGTGTGGTAGCCTATTCCTCTACACTTTGTGTCTCCATCTTTCCTTTGGGTTGCCTTTATCCGTATTCCTGGTTTTTATGATTCCTCTCCCACTCTCCTTTAGGTTACCTCTCTGCCACCACATAGTCCTGTTTTCCCATTGGGTTGCCTATCTTACCATTGGGCTACCTAGTAGTCTTGCTTTTTAGGATGCCTATCTTACCATTGGGCTACCTAGTAGTCCTCCTTTTTGGGTTGTCTATCTTACCTTTGGGCTACCTAGAAGTCTTGCCCTTTGAATTGCCTATGCATCTTTACTTTATGTTAAGTACACAACTCCCAGTTGGTTTTCTTGTCATTTGTGTTGTTTTTTACTTTTTACTTTGGGATACCTACTTACCTTGTCTTTGCATCACCTGTCCATTCTTTGGGATTGAAGTCCATTTGACTTATTACTTGCCCCTTTCATCTTTTTCAAGAGATTTTGAGTCACACCCTCCATTGCCTTAGAACCTGTTCCCATGACCTACCAGCACTATTGTTCCTCAACAGCTGGAGAGCTACAGGTATCCCAACATGATCCAAAGCCAAGTACAACTCTTAAGTAATTGTGAGTCATTTTTAAGCTTACAAAAGTTTTCTTGCCCTCATTAATATTTTCTAAAGCCAGCAAGACAATATACATTTTTTTTTAATAAGGAAGGGAAAAGAGCTAAGATGGCAAGAACAATAAGAACAATGGTGATGTGCAAAGAGCAGAAACACATAGCAGCCAATGGGAATGTTGGGGCTTGTAGTTTCACTCAGGTCAGTGAAAGAAGACTTCCAATTGGTCGTTGTAGTTTGCTGTACTTAGTGCATTGCCTTTTGTCTCACTGAACCTGTTTAAATTGTTAAAGTGATGAAATGAGCTACTTTCTGTTTGTTCTTTATGTAAATATATCATCTAACAAAGGTGTGGGTGTGACCTGGGACTTCGAGGACGCAAAGCCTTACAACATCTGAGTTTTGTTAGTTTTAAACCTTCACATCACTAAACATGCTACATTGAAATATATATTTAATACCGCTACATGCATTTAACTAATAAAAGGCATGACGCAGCAGCAAAAGTAATAGAGGGCTGCAAGAAGCATGATATTTTCTTATTTTGCTTATCTTACCTTGCCTTGCCTCTTCTGAACGCTGGGTGAAGGAAGAAGAGGAGTCACAAGGCTCTCCACAGCTGCCATAACACAGAGATGTACTTTATCTCTGCAGACTGCTGATTGGTGGACCATGCAGCTCAGTGATCATCCTGCTTATACAGCTGACAGCATGCTCCTACCAAAAGCTTGTCTAGGTTTTTGGATGCCTATCACCAACAATACCATTTATTATTTGGTGATACAAGGGTGGAGCCTGTACAAAAGGGAGTCATTTTTCACATGCATCCAGGGAAGCCTTTTACACTAAAACAGCATTTAAAAGAGCAAACAAAGGCTCCAATTTTGGATATGTTCTAAAAATGCTAGTTGGCTGTCATGCTGATTCGTCGGCTTCAGTACTTTGAGTCACTAACCCAGAACATGTCTGTTTGTTCCATGTCAGTGACTCTGAGTATTGAAGCCAGAGGCTCAGCATAACAGCCAGCAAGCTAGTATTTTCAGAAGAATGGCAGCCTGTGTATTTTATTCAGGAAAGTTAACTTTTAATATGTTTTACATGTAATTATGTTATATTGTTATGAAAAATAACCATTTTGTACATTATGTTACAGCCTTTTAAAGGGTCAGCCTAGATATATAGTTGTTGGCAGGCACTTAAGGCTTGGTTCACATTTCTCTGGTGTGGTTGTCTCTCGTTAACATTCTTTGCACTAAGGCAGCCTAGTCAAATGGACAACTTACCAAAATGTCCAATGAATGAGCATGCATCATGTTCAGCAATTCAGCACACCACCATGCATTGCAGTGCTTTGGAGTGCGCTGACGCATGTAACATGTGCTAATGTACCTTACGGGATGCCCGCACTACCGCACGTACTTCGGCAGAAACTGTGAAACTGAGAGTTAAACCTCCTTTGTGTATCTCTCAGGGCCCCGGGTGATGTACTTGAATTTTAAGGTCTACAGATCATCATATGGGGCTCCCCCTGCTGGATTTTATTTTATATTGTGTAGAATGGATCACGATTTGCCAGAACAGGAACAGTCAGGAATTATGTCAGGGAAATCTTACTGGTGGAGCATACCTGACACGAAAGACATAACGTACAACATAAAGTGCAATAAAATGTTTTTCAAAACACAGGAGCTCATTCAGGTAAAAAAATTTTACATTACACATGAGGAAAAGACACAAGAAAAACCTAAAAAATAATTGCTCTAATCGTCAGATGATGATGATAGATTAGGGATGTCCAGATACCAGTTCAGATACCAGTGCCGATACTTGGCATTTTCATGAAAACTACCAGGGTTGCAGAGGTTGCAGCTGGGACCTGGCTCTGGCTCTCCACCACTGTCCTGAAATCATTCGTCTGTATTGTTTTAGAATAAATGTCACATGACACTAAACAAAAATGTATCAGTACTTGTATCTGTGAGTATTTGGACAAGTATCACTACTTGTACTTTTACCGAGTACGGTACTAGGTATCTGAACATCACTACTATAGAGTTCATCTCAAATGAATCAATAAGTATCTGCAGAAATATCGTGAAGTGAGTGAGCAGTCAAATGCAGCCAGCCGGGAAGTAGAGGATTGGGAACTCCAACTGTGATAACTAGCAAGAAGAGAAAAAAGGAGAGCTCACGTTATGTAGTATATCGAACACTGATTTATTGAAGTGACAGAATATATTAAAAAGCACTCACAAAGGAAAGGTAGGGAGAGACTGGTAAGGGCTGATTAAGGGGAACGTGTTCCTGTACATAGTGACATCATTGTGGTTGGAGCAAGGTGTCAGTGGTGGGTGATCCTCTTCTCAGGAGCTTGTATTCTGTTGAAATAGCCAACTTGTCGAGATCTGCAAACGTGTCACTTCCAGAGACTTGTCAGCAAGAGATTTCGACGAGTTGGCGGTAGCGCATAACAAAAAGCCTATAAGAACACTTGTTGAGTTGTCCAACTGCTGCTAGTGCGCATGGGCTGATGTAAAACTAATACAGTGGCTTTAATTAAAGGAGAATTATTGGGTGACTGAAAAACACTCATTCCCCTAATTCAAGCCGACCTGTGACAAAGAAGCTGTCACAGGTCAGCTCTATAGATCGGGATGTGAGCGAAAACACACAGCCGTCGCTGACATCCTGATCATCTTGCTGCAGAGAGCGATGACTGTCAGTCACCGCTGCCTGCAGGGATTACCCCCTTCCCTCTCTGTTTCTATAGCAGTGACTGGAGGGACAGACAGGGGAGCGGGCGGGAACAGCTGCTTCTGCCTCTAGAAAGGCAGAGCCCCCTTTCAATCAGCCAGCGGGGTGGATCTTTACAGCATTGTCAGGATCTGTCCTGGCTGCAGCACTCTCAGCAGATAGCGGCCAATAGCCTGCTATATACTGAGTTTTGGCTCGCTGGAGGACACAGTATACTGTATGTCCTTTAGGGACCCTGAGGAGAACTATGGGAAAAAAAGGTTGTCCCTTAGTTTTCTTTTAAACAGAACCAAGTACAAGCACAAAGTGAAATAAAGGCACTTTTGGGTAGACTGGCCTGTTAAAATGTAACACACTGAAAACTGAATTGCAATCTAGCAATTTGTCATTAAGGATCCTGTGCAATAACTGAGCCGTGAGGCACCGTTTGCCTCAGGGTGCAGACTGGGATTGGGGTCAATTGCTATGTTTAGAAATACAATTCAGAACATATAAAAATGTATTTGTACATCGGATTTATTATACAATAATTATGTTTTTTCCCCCTTTTTTCACTGACATTACATGTGTGAGGCTTTTTATACAGCGGTGTGAGGAGTCTTCAGCAAAAGGGGCAGCCAGGTAGAGAGGGCAAGCCCTCTTTTAATAAATAGAATGTCTCTGCTGCTTATTGGCAAATGAAACAGCCAAACAAACGACCATAAAGAATCATTTGTCCAATGACAATGGCTGTAGTGATGCACAAGCATCGGGGGCCCTGTTGTGTCTGAAACAACATCTGTCTGTATTACCCTCTAGCCACCAATCACAGTCAGACGTTGCCTTTTCCATTCTGCCCCCCAGTGCAGGCTGAATTCTGCTTGGTGGCTTTAGGGTAGGTGTAGGCATCCTAGGCAATCCAGCTGTGGTGAAACTTCCATGAGGCAATGTAAGACTATTGACATCCACAATTATGTCTCCCAGACACAGAGGCATGATGGATTTGTAGTTTAACTACAGCTGGAATGCCAAGGTTGCCTACCCCCGCCCTAGAGCCATCACAACCCAAATGGCAATGCCATGGTTACCCAGGAAAAATTGTGCAGTCCATCCTCAAGTAAGTAATGTTTTATTGTGGCTTTATATATGGTGGAGACATTGGACAAGAGATTTTGGTGCTAGGATTGGGGTGCTGGAATCTTTCAGTGCAGAGGGTTGATCTCCCAGTGCAGATGAGGTGGGTATGCAAACAAGGAGTTAGGGGTCATTCACACCAAAGTGTTGTGCTAAAAGCATGGGCTCCATGCATTTATTGCATGCTATCACACAGCACGGGGGGTAACGCATGCTAAGGGCATTGACGTGTTGCCATTGATAGTCAATGGCACCCTATTGCACCTCCCGGTGGGCATGCATTGCAGCTCAGCATGCAGTAGCACAATAATGTGCGTTGTGTTTCCGTGAAGTGAAAAAAGTAATGCATGCTCCACTTTTTTCACCGCAAGGCAATGCATGCCCTGCTGAAAAGGTGTGTTGGGGTGCCCTTAAGAATCAATAGCAACAATACACACCAGTGCACCTAGCATGCAGTGCCACGACCTGTGCAATAGTGTGCGCTAAATGCATGGATCATACTTGTTTAGTGCGATACTATGATGCGAATGAGCCATCAAAGTGAACCTGTGCTTTGCTCATGCAGGGCAAAACAACAAGCTCACTGTGATGGTGATCCCACCAACTGCACAAACTTACCGACCTTTCACTCCCAGTGGCTAGGTGGAGTGCTATGAAAAGCTTTGTGTGCACTCCATGTCAGAACTCCTTTAGGGCTGAGGATTCTCCCCTGTGAGTCTGTGCAGTCAATTACCAAGCACCGGTGCTCTCCCCAAAGAGGAAAGGGAGTGAGTCACATGCATACTAATACAAGTATTGTTTTTTTTTTATTATTCCTGTAGCTCAGGGATGTCCAAACTCCGGCCCTCCAGCTGTGGTGAAACTACAAATCCCATGAAGCATCTCTCTCCAGGAGTCTGTGAGAATCTTGCAAAGCCTCATGGGATTCGTAGCTCCACCACAGCTGGAGGGCCGCAGTTTGGACATCCCTGCTGTAGCTGAACAAAGCAATGGGTGAGGAAAGGTTGGTGGAACATTTTTAAAACACAGATCCACTTTAAGGGTTAGGTTTAATGGGGGGAGGGGGGGTATAGTGTTAGGGTATTTATGGGAGTATGTTTTAGTAGTAGGGTTACAGAGATGGTCAGAATGAGGGTTACATGTAGGGTTAGTGTGAAGGTTAGTGGAAGTATTAATATACAGGGATGGTAAGTGTTAGGGCCCAGTCACATCTCAGCAAAGCGTTGCTGTGCATTAACTAATGTGCATTAACGTGCATGTCTCATGCTTTAATATTTGTTTATGCAAACCCATTCCTTTACTTTATCACTTTGGTGTAAATGGGCCCTCAGAGGTAAAGTAAGGGTCAGTGTTAGTCTTACAGTGAAGGTCAGTGTTAAGGTTACAGGGAAGGCCAGTTTAAGGTAACAAGGAAGGGTTAGTTAGTGTTTGAGTTACAGGGAGGGTTATTGTTACAGTTACTGGGAGGGTCAAAATTAGGGTTACAGGGAAGCCTAGTGTTAGGGTTAGAGGGAGGGTTATTGTTACAATTACAGGGAGGGTCAAAATTAGGGTTACAGGGAATCTTAGTGTTATGGTTAGAGGGAGTGTTATTGTTACAGTTACAGGGAGGGTCAATATTAGGGTTACAAGGAAAGTTAATGTTAGGGTCACAGGGAAGCTAAGCATTCATTTTTCTGGGAAGGTTAGTGTCAGGGTTCAAGGGGTTTTGTGTTAAGATTTTGGGGGGGTTAGTGTTAGGGTAACAGGACAGGTTAGTGCTAGGGTTAAAAAGAGGGCTACAGGAGGCGTCAGTGTCAGGGTTACAGGGAAAGTCAGTGTTAGGGTTCCAGGTAGTGTTAGTCTTAGGGTCACAGTCTTTGGCTAACAGGGAGTGTTATGGTAGAGTTACAGGGGGTTAGTATTAGGGTCACTGTTAGGGTACAGAGTGTAGTAGGGTTACAAGGAGGGTAAGTATTAGCATTGTAGGGAGAGTTAGTGTTAGTATTTTAAGAAGAGTTAGTGTTAGGATCAGTGGTAGGGTTACAGGGAGGGTTAGTGTTAGGGTTACAGGGAGGGTTAGTGTTAGGGTTACAGGAAGGGTTTGTGAGAGGATTACAGGGTGGGTTAGCGCTAGGATCAGTGTTAGGGTTACAGGCTGAGCTAATGTTAGAGTACAAGGAGTTGGAAGAAGTTATACATCAGTTCATTTGTGCCAATTTAAAGTTTGTCTTTTCAATGCTTTTTGAATACTTAGCAAACAAATAAGAAATTAATTTAAAAAGGGTTTTACCAATATAATATTAGAAATACAACTGTGAAAAAGCATACAGAATTGTCATAATTATGTGTACCAGGGTATGCAGCCAGGGACTGCTATAGAGGAGCTGTAGAGTGGTGCTGATGTAAGTGTTGTACAAGCAATCTTTCCTGTGTCTGCAGGAGCCGCTGTATCTTGGGGCCAGGTCACAAAACCCACCACTGATATGTTTTCATGATATGTTTTCATCTGTCAGCCATGTTTGGTTCAGTATTCTGTACACAGCCAGCAGCTGGAACTGTCCTTGGTGCTGAAACTGAATACAGAGCCCTAAAGCCACCTGATATTTGGGATGGTCATATCATTAAAATGGTTTTCCAGGCACCACATGAGCTCCCATTAAAGTCAGTCCACCCCATTACCTTAAGGTACAACTCTAACCCAATGTGTTTGTTTTTTTGGATAGAGTGGGGAAAGGTTAAAAACTCTGTCAGGGTTGTATTGTTATGTCTCTGCCAGGGGGACTTTCTTCCTGTCCCAGTGGCACCATGTCACATTCTGATAAACAGGGTGCACAGGGACAGGAAGAAGGTTGAAATTTTCTGTAACAGGAAACTGCAAAAATATCCATTCTCCACCCTACTAAAAATGTGTTTTTAAATACCTTCTCAGCACCTAAAATAGCTTCTGTGCAGGATCGCAGCTTCTGGTTTTCTGAGAACTATAGAGGACAGGCCTAGAAACCTGGGAAAATGTTATGCGGCTGATTGGCAGGCGTAGTTTTAGGGTCGTTCGGGCTAAGGATTCCAACAGCATAGATTATGGTATAGTAACCAAGTGCAGAAAATGATGGCTCAGATGACAATGACAGCGGATAGCCTGTGTCTGCTCAGTCAGTGAAAATGGGATATGATCTGGATTGTCTAGAGCCTTGGTTCTCAACTGGTGGGTCGCGACCCTGTGTTCAGTGGGTCCCTGTGTGCCTTTCACTTTTCTAGGTGAGAGGTTCCTCAGCCTTCCCCTAGCGCATCACTGTCAGTTCTTGCGCCAAGCAGCCATTCAAAATATCCTGCCCGGTGCTGAGTGTCAGCTCAAGGTAGGGTGGGCTCCATCCATATGTGCATTGCTTACAACTCCCTTGCATGTCCTATAGAGTGCCTGGACCGGAGTGATGTCACATACTGGCTCTCGGCACCTCTGCAGGGTGTGCAAGGGAGCTGTACAAGCACTGCACATATGGATGGAGCTCCATCACAGTACAGCAGGCCACACCAGACCCCAGGCTGAGGATCCCCTCCAGTTCTCATAAGGTAGGGAGACTGGGTGGATCTTAAAAAAATAACAGAATTGTTGTTTTTTTTTGAATGTGTCTGTGGTTGTATGCTTTTGAGGACCCATTCACACTAGTACAGCGCGTTAATGGCACAGTCCCGTGCGATTAACGCACTATACTTCGAATCGCACCTACCACGCGTTTCGGTGTGAGAAGTTTTAAAGACTGGACTGTCAGCTGAAAATCTGGGTCTGAACGTGCGAATTGTGGCCGTCAGCGACTAGTCAATGTTAGGGTAGAACGGAGAGTGGCAAGACTGGTACAAGACAACAGAAGGGCAACAGTGCAGTGTCAGATTCCTCGCATCACCTTTCAACATCTCGTGGAGTCACGAGGCGGCCCAACGAAGTCATCTCGTGGAGTCATCTCGTGGCCCAATGTAGTACTGATGGGGTGGTCATAATAATCTGGCCACTCAGTGTATATATACATACACATAGATCTATGTGCATTGCACATATGTATGATGTATTTCATATTTTACCCATCACATTTGCATGCATTATGTATATATATTGTATATTGTGCTATGTATTAAATGAAATGGGCAGCTCAGGGTTAATTCTGTGCCTTCATTTCCATGTAGTTGGTTAGATAGAGTGCTCAGGGTGTTGCCATGGTAACATCTTAGTGTGAGCTAAAAAGAGCGTAGGAGACAAGGCTTAAGATGGGGAGAAAAATGAGGGGAACTGGCAAAAATGGAGGGAGTCGAGGTAGGCAAGAGGCTGACAGAAATCATCACGAGGTGGCGGCAACAAAGAAGGCCCGGGGATATATTGTGCATGTGACAGAAATTACATGCAAACATGGTAATGAATCATGAAGATGGGGGGCAGGAGGATTAGCAGTGAAATGGTTTAAACAAGAAAAAAAATAATTGACATCACAAGCTGCACCCATAGACATCACCATTTAAAGAGGCATGTAATAAAAACTTTGTGTGCTTTTCATATAGCAACCAGTCAACTTCTTTTCTGTTTGCCAAGTAAAGATATAGAAAAAGAGAGAACTAAAAAATTGATGTGAGGAATATGTCTTTTTATAAATGGGGAAAAACATCATCTTCATACAGTACATTCAAATACATACATAATACATAGTAATACACAGGATGCTGCGGAAGAGGGGGCAGAGGAGGTAGATGCTGCACCAGATTCTTCAAGTGATGAAAGGGAACCTGTCACTTTGCCTATTCACAGCAAATACATGCTTTGGTTTTTGATACTGTCATTGTTACTTAGAAATTGGATGACATCTCAAATTAGCACATGTTCAGGCACCTGAAAGAGCAGCAACTACCAAGATGTGAAAAGGGTTCTCGCCTCTGACCCTCAGCTCCAAGACTAAGTCCATCACTTGCTGACTTCCTTGCATAAGTACACCTTAAAAATTATAATTAGGCTTTCATTTTTTAAACTACTCTGAAAAAACGGGAGGAAGGATCTGCTTTCTATGGGCAGCATTGTTTCCCTGGTCCAGTTTTGGGTGAGCAAGTGTGCAGAAAAATGTTGGCAGTACCATGCCACCTTAATTATTTCATTATTTTATAAAATGTTCCATTCTAATTTCAGTTTCGTTATCTCATTACAGGTCAATTGTTTCTCAACTGAATTACTGTGATTTACTAGAAAACGTTGAACATGCCTCATTTCTTATGTGAAAAAATGAAAACACCGCTGCCTTGGACTGAACTTTGTATACTTCTTATGATTTTCAATGTATTTTCTACATCTTGTCTGGGATTCTGTCCTCCTCAGTGTGTTTGTGAGACAAGGCCTTGGTTCACACCACAGTCGGTTTACCATGAAGCCAAGACAGTGGACTGCAATGACCTTCTGCTGACTCATATCCCAGAGAACCTCTCCACGGACACCCAAGTTTTACTTCTTCAAAGCAATAAGATCTCACGTATGGGTTGGGAACTCCAGGATCTGGTCAACCTTACAGAACTGGACCTATCTCAAAACCACTTTCAAAGTATTGAAGATTTGAGCATTTCAAACCTTTCTCACCTCATCACCCTCTATCTGGAAGAGAACCAGCTCACAGAACTTCCAGACTATTGCCTAAAAGATCTGGAAAGCCTAGAAGAGTTGTATATTAACCACAACCAGATAAACTTTATTGGTTCCCGTGCCTTTGCTGGCTTAGGTAAGCTTCTGAGAATTCACCTAAATGCCAATAGACTACGTGTTATAGATTCAAGGTGGTTTGAAGACCTCCCGAATCTTGAGATACTTATGATTGGAGAAAACCCTGTGAGTGCTCTTCAGAACTTTAATTTTCAGCCTCTTGGGAAATTACATAGTCTCGTGCTGGCAGGGATGGAACTTGACCAAATTCCAGAAAATGCATTTTATGGACTGGACTATCTAGAAAGCCTCTCTTTTTTTGACAACCGGCTAACTTCTGTGCCCAAGGAAGCAATGAAACCTCTTAAATTGCTAAAATTCCTGGACCTCAACAAAAATGCTATAAGCAGAATTCAATCAGGAGATTTTAGGGACATGCCACATCTTGAGGAACTAAGCCTTAATTCAATGGAAGAGCTTGAACGTATAGAGGGTGAGGCCTTTCAGGATTTGCCTGAGCTACTTAAGCTAGAAATCTGCAACAACCCTAGATTGACCTACCTAGATCCAGGTGCATTTGTCTCTAATGTTGGCGCCTTGAAAACTCTACTTCTCAACAATAATCGACTAGCATTAATACCACTTAAAGTATTTCAAATGCTACCAGGGTTAACTGAAATCAGTTTGTACAGTAATCCCCTTCGCTGTGACTGCCAAAACAATTGGAAAGGACTTTCATCATTGAGACTCATTGAAGCCCAAGCAACACTTTGCACAAGCCCTCCCCTGGTGAGTGGACACCTCTTTCAGGAAATACAAGGCCAGGCATGGCTGAATAGATGTCCACCTTTAATAGATACACAGTCTTTTCCTTCTCGGCTCCATCTTTCCAAGCACCAGTTAGTAACTTTAACTTGCCAAGCAAGTGGTCATCCAAAACCTGAAATCTACTGGATAACTCCGCATGGAGAAAGAATATCGGGAGGAAATGGGAGAATACATATTCAGGGAGAAGGTTCCCTAGAAATACTGGATGCCACAGAGGAGGACTCTGGATCATATATGTGCCAAATGTGGAACTCAGATGGAACTGACAGCAAAAGTGTGATTCTCTACATCAATGGAACTCAGGAACAAGAAGTCACTTCCCTTTCCATTGTTACCAAGAAAGTTCATTCCAGTTTTGTTGTAGTGCAATGGAAAATGTTGGGTGGCCCTGTAAATGCTCCAAGTGTTCTAGTGCCTGTCCAGTGGACTTCCGCAACCATGAGGATACATAACCCACACATCAGTTACACAGCCAAGGTTCCTCTTGAAATCCAGGAGTATAATCTAACTCATCTCCAACCAGCCACCAAGTACGAGGTGTGCCTTACTGTTTCTTCTATTTCTCGTCCAAGTCAACAGTCTTGCCTAAATGTGACCACTAAAGATGCTTCATTTTCCATGGCAGCCGTAGGGAGGCCAGTGAGTATCGCCCTCTCAGCAGCTCTAGGCTCTCTCATTGCTGGTTTATGCATGGCAGCTGTCATTGTGTATGCCGGACATCACCTCCGCCATAAAAGCTGTGGACACTCTTTAAAAAAGTACATGCAGAGAGCATCATTTATCCCTCTCAACGAGTTTTACCCTCCACTTATCAGTCTTTGGGAAGGAGAAACCGAGAAAGAAAAAGAGAGTAGCCTAGAGCAACCTGTTCTGGTGCCACCACAAGAAGATAAAACTTTCCCAACCATTGTTCAAATTGACACTTCAAAAACGTACATGTGGCAGTCATAGACTTGGACAGGGCTGATGACATTAAATATTGACTTTGCTGCTTTCATTCGTAGAAGGTGTTTCTGTCTTAGATCTTTTTGTACAAATGGTTATAAAGCAGTGATGAACTTAGCACAAACCCACCTAAAACTGACATTAGGGACAATTGGAGGGATTCGTATCTTTCTTTTTTGTTATTAGGGAAGAAAATTCCACTGTTTTGCTCCATTACCAGCATCAAACAGTACAGTTTTAAGTGTCTTATGTGGACTTTTTCTGTGAATATGAAAGGAGTTTTGACGTATGGAAACTGTCTCATGTGTATTGATTTAACAATGTGAAGAACTTCAGGCAAAAGTGAACTAAAAGGTTATTTTTAGACCTTGTTGTGTGTAATTGCTTGTAATACTTTTTTAGATTAAAGGAATATGAGACTTGAACCCCATTACCAAAAGGCCATGTATACATTTCTAAAATTGCTCGTCTGTAAGATTCTGGTCATTCAGGGTCCTCTGTTGTGGTTTTGATCAGTAAAGCGCTGCAAAGGGTAAACAATAACTGTAGTATTATAGGAGCCAAACTGATCTCTTCTACTTAAGTCAGTTCCCTGAAATTCTGATTGCATACTGTAATCACTGCTCTTTGTTTTACCAAATATGCTGCCATTGGTTTGTTAGGAATATTGAAATTTGGAATTAAAGAGTAGCTGAACTCTGGAAGCTGTGCTTAATAAATGGCAGGCAGAGGGTAAACGTCTATTCGCCAGTATTGTCTGTGGTCTCCCTGCAGGTAATCTTTTTACCATTATTAACTTACAATGGTTTATTCTGCAATTCATGGTATGGAGGCGGCCATTTTGGTACAGACGGGTGTTGCTTCCTCATGTCATAAAGTCCAATAAGAAGATCAGTGAGCAGCAGAATAGTGACATCATCAAATCTCAATCCAACTCTCCTGAGACTAACAGTCAGAGACACTAGTGTCTGAGATCTCATACTGCAGATATACAACTATAAGGCTGTAGGCACAGTAGTGCCTAGGCACCGTCACATACCAGGAAGTGCATTGCTAGGTTTCAGGAGGAATGCAAGAAAAAAGGTACATTTTCAGTGTGTTGCTTAGGCAGAAATGACATTTTCTAGATGTTCCCTATAACAAAGCAAATCTTCACTTTTTGAGTTCAGGTCCACTTTAAAGGTTCTACTACACTAAGGGGTTCATTTATAAAAGTTCTACCCGGCTTATATGCTTCCTATACTCTACATCTAGAGGAGCTAGTGCCATGTGAATGGCATCTGCCCGATATTTATGTTTGTGAGTATTAGGATAAATGTACATGTATATCATATATAAAATAAAGAGTGGAGTTAAAGTGGACATCTAACTTTACAAGCCTGCATGAATACATTGCTGGTATGACACCATATGCAGTAACAGTATCGTTAAAAAAGCTCTATCTTTTATTATTAAAACGCCTTCCCCCTTGCAGGTCACAAGGGTAGAAGCTGCATCAGGGAGCTAATCTGCGTAAGACATTTGTGAACAGAGTCATGAACAGTACAAACACCACGATTAAATTAAAGGAGAACTATGTGGTGTTTTCCCCATAGTTCTCTTAAGGGTCACGGGAGGACACAAACTAGCTACAGCTCGCGGTATACTGAGACCGCCGCAGCCGGGACGGATCCCTACATTACTGTCGTGATCCACCCAGCTGCGTGATTGACAGCTGGCTCTGCCTATCTAGAGGCAAAGCCAGCTGTACCCGCCCACTCCCCCGTCCGTTCCGCCAGTCAGCGTGGAGGATCAGAACGGGGGGGTTATCCCTGCAGGGAGCCGGCTCTCTGCAGGGAGATGATCGAGAACTGAGCGACCGACATTATGCGTTCGCTCACTTCCCGATCTATTGAGCCGACGTGTGACAGTTTCATTGTCACACGTCGGCTCGAATTATGAGGCTGGGTGAAAATCACTCACCTCATAGTTCTCTTTTAACTGTGTCATTTCTGAGCCAGCATCTCAGTAAAGGAAGTAGATGCTGACCCTGCATGATGCCTGAACAAAGATGACTCCTTTCTATAAGGCTTTGTTGAGGAGAGTACTATGATCAAGATAATAAATACAGCATCTGCAAGTGTTGTACTCACACGTTACTTATTATGTATGCACTTGACAGGAAAAAATGTATCTGATGCTAGATGGACTTTTAAAATAAGTAATCCATCTTAGTGAATTGAGCCTATTTCTATGCTGAGCCAGTTTCTATGCCATGAATTAAAATATTCCTAATTATTTTTCCTATCTTTTAAATAAATAACTTTTTTATGGTAAGTGTATGCATGCAAAGAAAAATGTAAGTGTAAGACTTATATATAGAGATACAAACCGCTCAGATGAAATTGTTTTCTTTATCTCAAAGACAATACATATCCGTGGGACCTGGTACCTTCATATTAAATTACTGGAAGAAAGGTATGTAAAAGGCATTTACAATCAGCACAGATCAAGCATTGAAGGAAAATAACAAATATTATCTTTATTTGGGCCACAGGTTAAAATGTCAAACAGTCACATACATAATAAAAGAAAACTTAAGGGAAAAGCTAGACATGGCCAAATCGGTATTATATCAGATAAGAATAAAGTGAAACTAAAGCTTCAAAAAAAAAAGGAATGCTGATTGGCAGGATCCCATGGTCTCTTCTGCCATAAAAGCTTCTTTCTGTCAGTATTTATTTTCTCTACGCGGAGGCGTGCATGTGTAGCTCAGCACATAGACCCAGCATACCGAGATGAAGTATCTCCTGTGTGCATGCACAGGAGTTACGTCAGTGGGGTCCGGCCAATCAAGTGGTGGAACACTTGAAAGCTGTAAGAAGACCGGTGAGAAGATGGAAGTGCTGGTGATAGAGGAGTGCAGCGCTTGAGGGGATTGTTTGTCAGGTAAGTCTGCCATAATGTGCTAATATGCTGTGCTTACTTCACATTGTGGCTAATAGCTCCATGGGGACGTTTTTTTTTCCTTTTTTTTTTTTTTAAATACCTTTACTTCCTCTTTAAGTTTTAGGAAGATTGACAAGTATATATATATAAAAAAAAAGAGTCCACATGAACCAAGCCTTTATTATAAATTGTATTGCTATACACTTAACTATTAAAGTGACACTAAACTCAGGAGTTAAAGTGACATTAAACCCTCAGATTTTTTAACATAAAACAATACTGTAATGTGTGCCTTACTGTAATCCATGGTAGTTTTCCTTCTCTATACTGCTCTTCCTTTTAAATCTGTATCTGTTCTCATGCTCTGCAGAACTTCTGTTTTGCCGCAGACTGCCTTTTCTCAGGAATGGATACACGGTGTCTGTGTATCCGTTTGTATGGGTTTGTAATCTGAGCCAGCACTACAGGAAGAGGCCCTGAGCTGAAAAGGGAAGTTCTGCAGAGCATGAGAAGACATGAGGATTTAAAAGGAAGAGCAGCAAAGAGAAGGGAAACAACCATGGATTACAGTAAGGCACACATTACACTATTGTTTTATGTTAAAAAATCTGAGGGTTTAATGTCACTTTAAACTTAAAAAATGCATTTAAGTACCTTAACTATGAATGTATCTTATTTGTATCTCACTTGGCTGTAGCTCCTCAGATCATCTCTGAATTCATGCTGACACTGTCCTTCCTTCTGGAGGGTGGCTACTTTTGTTCCCCATGGTCCCTGTGTGTGTTGTAAAGTAGACACCACTCCAAGCTCACTCCTGTGATGGACTACAATCTCAATACAAATGAGTATACTAAATGCGAGATTGTAGTCTATCACGGGAGTGAGCTTCGAGCGGTGGATACTTTGCAACACACGAAGTGATCATTGGGAACAAATTCAGAGATGATTTGTGGTTCTACAGTCGAGCAATACACAAATAGGATACATTTTTGTTCATAGTTAAGGTACTTGAATGCATTTTTAGGATTTAACCACTTCCTGGCCGCAATACGTATATAGACGGAGGCCTGCAGAAGTGGTTAACCACTTGCAGTCCGCCAGTTGTAAAAAAAACAGACACGCAGCAAACTCCCATTGGCGGGGCACCGTAAATATACAGATTTATTTTCCTGCACGGGCAGAAAAAAAACTTAAAGGTAAACGGCCGTTACCAGCGTGTTACACACACACAAGTGATTGGCAGCTCTATAGCAGTCTGAACGCTTATATGTGATGCCCTGCGTGCCTTTTCCCCCTCCTGCAGTGCTGCCACCCCCAACTCCTGCACCCTCACCTTCCATCCCAGACTCCGCTGTCCCCTCTCCAGCCCGAGCCTGGCTCAGGCGGGTGTCAGGAGGAGGATGGGAGGGAGGTCAGCATCTTTCTCCTTGCTGAACTCCCTCCGAGGTCTGAATGTGGAAGTAATGTGTATTACATCACTTCTACATTCAGTTGTCTTTTCTCTGGCTGCTATAGCCAGAGAAGAAGCTGGTGAAGCAGATCTCTGCTTCATCAGCTGCTTTGGGGGTACCTAGGTGACATTAGGGGTCTTAGAGTCCCTTAATGTCTCCATAAAGAGGACCTGTCAGTGTGCCTGTGCTATCACATAGGGGGGCTGTTAGCCCCCTATGTGATTGCAATTACATTAAGTGTAAAACATTTTTTAAAAAGTAAAAAAATAAAAGTCACATATAAAGAAAAGTACAAAAAAAAAAATGTTTACGTCCCCCACTGATAACACTAAACTGATGAGCAGCAAAAGCTTTTAAAGCATTGCCTATGGCCAATTTTGGATATTGTAGTTTTTTGAGGTTTCCTGGGTGTGCGCAATTTTAAGGCTTGACATGTTTGGTGTCTATTTATCCTATGTAAAACAAATGACAAACTCACTCAACAACTTGTCACCAGTGTGCACACGAAATGGTGCACACGAAATGGGCTTTGAACAGTAAAACGGTAGAAAGGCATCATGGCACACTCACAAACCAGCATGTGAAACAACTTGTCTCACCACTGAGGTTAATAACAGAGGTTTGGATACACGTCTTCTGCAGAAAATGTGAAAGCCGCACTGCCGCGCCAAGGCACCTCTTATAGTGCGGTCCTAACTCTAGTGCTGCTTTCACATTTTCTGCAGAAGACGTGTATCCAAACCTCGGTTATTAACCATGATGCCTTTCTACTATTTATCCTATGTGACCCCATCTTTTATATTTTACAAAAATTTTTAATTTGGTGTAATTGTTATACATCACTTCCACATTCTGACACCGGAGAGAGGATGGAGGGAGATCGTGTACTGATCTCCCTCTGATCCCGTCACGGAGCCACCATGCTGGTCCCGGGCTCGCACCGGGCACAGCGGAGCTTGGGACCAGAGGAGGGGGGGCTGCATAGGGGGGGGCGCACAAAGCGGCACCTTATACAAGCGATCCGCCAGCTCTATAGCCG